GATCTCATTCAGGTTTCTGCACTCGACCACCGTCTCCTGGGATAGAGCTTTTACGTTCGCCTCCTCACCCAGAAGCGTTTCGACGAGCTCCTTGAAGACTGACCTCTTGACCGTAGGATCTCGAAGAGCATCTCGCCTCGAAGAGCATCTCGCCTCGAAGAGCATCTCGTCTTTCTGGGTGCGCCTGGTTCCTTCAGTTTCGGATCGACTCTCACTTTCCGGAAGAGATCTGCGTACGTCGTTACGCCCTTAACCGTGACAATCAGCGCATCGGGCTTACTTCGCTCCCCTATGAGACCTGGGTTTCTCCCCCTTATGTTCTTCTCTCTTCTTCCCTTCCTATTCCTTCCAATGGTTCCCGTTTTGCTTCTCGACGGAGTGCCATGCCTTCCAGGTCACTCTTGGATTTCTTCTGTTCCTCTTCCTCTCCTGGCGTTTTCCGTTTTCTTTTCTCCGGGCATGTGTGCGTATGTGTGTGACAAAATTTTGTATCTAAGTTTTCTCAGTAATCACTGAAGAGAATTGGACGCCAAATGAAAGGTACTATGGTTCCATCCATGGCTATTGGATTTGTTTGTTTGTTATTTTTTATAGTGCGCGCTAGACATAAATGCACTAAATTTGAGTTAACAACTATTTAACGTTCCTTCACAGACACACAGACGTATATCTTTCTCCTGAATCGTCGTATACGAATCGCGAATCCCCACTGCTGGATGCTGGCACCTGATCACTTTGACGTGTCTATACATTCTATTGAAGTTCTTACTTACCTTACCAATCAGGCTAAGGTCTTGTTGTCCTCTGCTGTCCGAAAAAGTCGTCTCCACTCTACTCGATCCATGGCCACACTTCGCCAGCCTCGTAGTCTGCGAAGGGTCCTCAGGTCGTTTTCTACTTGGTCGATCCACTTGCCCGCTGCGCGCCTCTTCTTCGTGTTCCTGTTGGGTCGTTTTCTAGAACCAGTTTCACTGGGTCATCGTGCGGCATTCTTACGACGTGCCCAGCCCACCGTAGTCGCCCAATTTTTGCAATGTGGACGATGGATGGTGTAGGGAATGAGAGCAGTAAGGCAGCGATGTATCTAGAGTGAGAAAGAGAGATAGAGAGAGTAAAGGTGTAGGAAGAGCAAAAAAAAAAAAAGAGGTACTAAATAGGGGCTGAAAATAAAGAGAGCAGTCGTATGAATAGCTTTGAAGAAGAAACACGGCAACATAATTTACATATAAAGGAAAATCCGAAAAATGGCCATGCCGGACAGTCAGGACACGACAGATGGTTCTCCCAATTCGTTGTTTATTCGCCTCCTCCACGTTCCGTCATCCATCTGCACTCCACCGTAGATGGTACGAAACACCTTTCGTTCGAAAACACCAAGGGCGCGTTGGTCCTCCACGAGCATTGTCCAGGTCTCGTGACCGTAGAGGACCACCGGTTTAATCAGCGTCTTGTAGACAGTCAACTTCGTGAGGTGGCGAATTTTATTCGACCGGAGCGTCCTCCGGAGTCCAAAGTAGGCACGATTCCCTACCATAATGCGTCTTTGAATTTCTCTGCTGGTATCATTTTCGGTGGTCACCAGTGAGCCCAAATACACGAACTCATCGACCACCTCGATTCCGTCAGCGTCAATCTGAGCTCGGGGTGGGAGACTAACATTGTCTTCCCTAGAACCTTTTCCTTTCATGTATTTTGTCTTTGATGCGTTGATGGCAAGTCCAATCCGCCTAACTTCAGCCTTCAGTCTGATGTACGTTTCCGCCATCGTCTCAAAGTTCCGTGCCATGATGTCAATGTCATCGGCGAAGCCAAGAAGCTGGATGGACTTACTGAAAATGATGCCACTCGTGTTTATCCCAGCTCTTCTGATCACACCTTCTAACGCGATGTTGAATAGCAGACACGAAGCGTGGTTGAAGTTCATCATAGATTAACCTATCACAGCCCGGGAAGCCGAGCGATTTGCAGTTCCATGTTCCGAGTTTCCAATCGTAGTCCTTTTTCCAGGGCGGCTTGTTGGGCCTGCCTCAACCCCCTGTCTCACTGGGGGACCATCGTGCACAGCTCTGTTTAGAGTTCCACGCTGGCACTAGGAAAGTGATCAGCCGCTCCTAACATGGAGAACAGACGCCGTTTTGAGCCGCACCTCCGCAGTCTCCTTTCCTTTATTTAACGTCGGTCTCTGTCCCGCAATCTAGTGCCAATCACCGACGGACATCGATTGCCATCCATTGACGGCAATCGAATGTGCAGGAAGGCAGCTTCCACACCTGCATAGCATATCGGCTTTACTTTCCTTCCGAAGGAATACGTGAGCAGAGATTTTTATGCCTCAGAAAAATACCACCGACCTCGGCTGGGATTGAACCCAGACCTATTGAAGTTCTATGCAACATTGTTTGAGACTTGGCTAGGAAGCTTTGTTCCACGAATAGCTCTGTAACGATATGTTTAAGGAAAATGTATTTAAAGACTTACGTCTGTTTGTCTGTGGTTTCACCCCTTATATCAAGAGCAAATTTTCATTACGTCGAATGTAACAAAGGTAAACAAAGTCGAGCTATCAGTGTCAATCGATGCTCCTGCTATTACACTATATACGTCCGAATATAGGATCACATCTCATTTTTAAATTTATTTACCAGTCGAATTGCTTTTTGACGTAATCACCTTCCGATCAAAATAGTATCCGATGTTACTTAAGTCACCCGATTTCTATGGAGATGCCGTTTGCCTTAAGTAACAGCACTGAGAAACCCGTGAAAATGATGAATGGGCTGCACGTAAGGAGACGTAATTGATAATTCTCCCGAATATCCTGGTAAATACACTTTGACTTAAGTAACAATAGGGGCCACCAAACGACGTATAATAACTTTTGACTCAAAAACCAGTATTTTTTAGCATGAAAGCTAGCGATTTGCATTTGTAGTAGTCTAGTCTACACATACACAGCCAGTACTTGAAAGAATCCTGGAAAATGATACATCTATCATTTTTCTTGTCATTATTAATGCTTGCTGCACATCAAGGATGTGAAACAAACAATAAAGCGGCCAGGCCTACTGTGTAGCGTTAAGTTAATTTTTGTGGAAGTGAATGTTTACCATGTCTACTTAATAAGTATAGACAGTGGTTAACATTTAATCCACAGGTAATCAAAGAGCGGGGACATACCGTACCAACCGCTCCGTATGCAGGATTTGAAAATAGGCTATATAAATCGTTGGGAGTGACAGAGCTAAGAAAGTTAATGTACACTCCTTGATTGTCCGATCTCCTGGGATGGAACACAGGTATTTACCCCTTGTGTTCGAGCGTACAGTCCTCCCTCCGTACAAGCGTGGACGGCACCGCCAACCCACTGCCATCCCTCAATCGATCCAGCCGACCTCAGTTGAAGGACAACAGAGAGCGGTGTGCGGACGTAACCTATACGGAGGGAATGCTGTATTCGCCTAGGTTATAGCGCCCTTGCTCGCTACTATTTTCTTCTAGCGGTTGGGACCTGAGCACTAACTCTTGTCCTAGCCCTATATGGCATATGGTTATAGCGCCATTACTCGCTTTCTGAAAAGAGAAGAAGGGAAGGGAAGGAGAGGAAAAGGACTTGGGAAAAGGAAATGCGGAATTCCTTTCCTCATTAGTATTTGTATCGTCAACTTTTATGAAAACTATATAAATCATTCTTCCTTGGTCAGAGGTATTATTACGACATTTGAATAAGATTGTCTTATCATTTCCCTAATAAAAATAACCATAAAAGAGAGCTTAACGACGTGTTCGGGGTATCATCCAAACCCTATGTGGGATGGTTTACCTATCCGAGATACAGTTCGTTTATGGTATTTGTTTATTAGGGTTGTTATTCAAAATTTAATGTTATAATGATCAACATAGCTTTGGATTATCCAATATAAATCGGTAACACTGTCCTGCAACCGATGTAGGAAGCACCAAAGAATATATATAGACAAATCTCAAAAACACAGTTTTAACTGATAGTACTTTATAAACATCAAACTGTCCAATATTGGATCCTGCCAATTATAAGCACCAGAATAAATTGCAACGGACTCACCAAATTGATCCATGAACGATGTCCTGTTACAGTGATCTCCATACTCAAGGGTTGGTTGACTGGGCTCGAAAATAGGTTTTCCTATTCTTATTATCGGACAAGCGAACCAAAAATCCTGTATGGCCAATCAGTTGATTAGTCAGATGATGAAAGCACAATTGTGGCTGAATGGATTCAGGCTGCTAAACGGAGAATCTGACCCACTTGTAAGGAACACAAAGAGCCACAAAGAACAACCAATGGTGCTAGGTTCCGAGATGATCAGTGGTTTAAGAACTCTGGGGTGGCAAATAGTTGAAGGAACACTAATTACAACTTCACAAAAGTCTAGGAGCAAAAATTGACGGCTGAAAATTTTCTAAGTCTCTCTTCGAGCACAGCTCACTACGATCATAGGAGTAACTTTTCGGTCATCAAAACAAAACTTTATTTTTCTCGGAGTGGCGCTAATGTTACTTACGACATAATGAAAATTTGCTCTTGATATGTGCTAGCAATTGTGAGGTAAACCTTTTTAGTTTCGTTGGAGACGCTTGGTCGTTTGCTTCAGATGCTTTGGTTAAAGTCAATCTGATGCATAATGAGGATTCACTATTCAGTCACATACATACCACCCTACAACACTGCCCAGCATCCGTTTGTTCATGTTGAGGAAAATCTGCTCCCCCCGTTACACGGGCTGCTGGGAGAATATCCTGCTTTTCCACTGATATCAGCCCCGAGGAAAATAGAGAGGGCCGACGGCGTGAGAGACGTACTCACACCCGCCAGAGAATCTCTCCACTCGGCGCGCATCACGGTAGGTAGGTACTTACATCCGGAAGCGACCCACCAACAACAGTGTGAAAATTTGTTGCTCCTGCGGTTTCCCCTCCATCGAGGGCAAACAGTTTTTCATTTCGATCGCGTACGGGTACGAGAACGGACACTCTGTAAGGTACTACCGCTTGGCGCGCACACACTTGGTCCGTCGTTAGCCAATCAGTCAGTCAGTGTGCAATTGAATCACTGGAATAAGTACCAGAATAGGTCAAGCTTACTCTTTAAGCTGCTCTATCCCCCCGTTCTCTATCTCTGACTGGATTGTGGTGGTGTATGCGATTGAGGAACACGCGTTCGCGTCTGTGTGTGTGCAGGTGTTGGTGGGCCCGTGAGCTAGGCGCTTAATTAGTGTTGACGACCATCGCGATATCAGGGGGTGGAAAAGAAAGTACAGGAGCAGAACCGAGCAACCTATTAGTGAGATTTTACTGGAGATTTTGGCGACGGAAGCAAAAGAGGTCCAAGTGATACGAGTGAGAAAAATATTCCTACGATTCTACTGCTATTGAAGCTTTGTAAGGATAAGTGGTAAATCAAAGCCTTTGGATAACGTTTGGATGTTGATTGGAGTGAAATCAAAGTGATCAAAGAGCAGAACCAGTCGTTGATTGAAGCAATTAGTGTGAGCTCAAAGGAAGAAGAATCCCAGTGCACGATGAGTGATTTCCCAGCGGTCATTGAGTTGAACGTCGGAGGAGTACAGTATGCGGCCAGCTTGGATACGCTCAAGTCCGAGGATGGTTCCTGGCTGCAGGAAGTGTTCGGCGGAAGTGCAGATGATGTGCCCAAGGATAGCCAAGGTCGGTTCTTCATCGACCGCGATGGGGCCTTGTTCCGATATGTGATGGAATACCTGCGGGAACCGGCCAAGTTCAAGGTGACTGCGGAGTTCCAGGATCGGGTTCGGCTTCGAAAGGAGGCGGTATTCTTCCGGTTGGCTGGTTTGGTGGAAGCTTTGACCAAGGAACCCGGCTGCATCACCATCGGCTACCGGGGTAGTTTTCAATTTGGTCGCGACGGTCTGGCGGATGTCAAGTTCCGGAAGATCACACGACTGTTGGTCCACGGACGGGTGGCGATCTGCCGGGAAGTGTTTGGTGATACGTTGAACGAGTCCCGCGATCCAGACCATGGCGGACCCGATCGCTACACGGCTCGGTTCTTCCTGAAGCACGTCTTCATCGAGCAGGCCTTCGATATGCTGCAGGACAATGGGTTCCGGTGCGTCGGGAGCTGCGGTTCCGGAACGGCCGGGTCCATCACGGAGAATCTGAAGCCCGGAGTCGATTCGGAGGAGAACCGCTGGAATCACTACAATGAGTTTGTCTTCATTCGCGACTAAGGTGGTGGTCGTTTGAAATTTTCGTTGCTGCCGGGAGGATTGGTGACCAAGAAACGAGGAGTTAAGCGATAATCTGTAGATATTATGTGATACATTAAATAACGAGGTCGGTTAGTCCGAAAGCGGAGAGATTAGATTCAGGTTACAGGATTTGTGTTCGGTTTGGGTTTTGAGTAAAATGCGAACGAGAAATCACACTGCAAAAATCAAACGTGTGACATGCATCGGTTCCGATTTCGAGTGGTTGCGGAAAGAGTGACGGAGTAGACGATTATTTATTTTTTTCGCATGGGGGGTGAGAGAAACTTGTTGAAAAGCATGACGAGTTCTGGGAATGAAAAGCCACATCATCATTATCGGTTTTATCGGCACTGCCACGGTCGGGCATGGGACGACGACTCAAATCTCGCTCTTCATCATTCTCGCCTGGCTTGTGGGACCGGGGCTCGGCATCGATCTGCGTCGGGGTCGGATAATGATGTGTGTTGAGTTGATGCTGATGGTTGGTCGAGTTTTCTGGCCGGAATGGGGGAAATCCTCCAGAGGATTTGATATATCCCGAGGCGATTTGGAAATTTGTGTTGATTGACACTAGTTGGCTCCGTCGGTCGGGGAGTGAATGGAAACGGAAAATGGGGGAGGGGAGAGATTTTCGACGATTTCCGGGCCAGTGAACTAATCCTTTTGCTGATATCGATGTTTGTTTGATGTCAGTGGTTCGAAACGGTGTGCAAATAGATGAAATGATCCCAAGTTGTTGCAACTTGATTGTAACTGGAATAAGTTGCAAACAAGTAACCACAACAGTTCAGTGGCAATTGTGCTGCTAGCGATGGCGTTAATCATATTTGACGAATCGGATGGAATGTCTGTTGTTCCTGTGTTCATAAAAAAAAAAATCACCTCATTATACCCAGAATGCTTTATTTCCATTCTCGGAAACCAAATATAATCATTTGGATTTGAAATTTTCCGATCGTCTGAATCCAGAAATGAAAAGTAAAAGTAGTAGCCAGGGCTGTCATGGTGGTTACTCATGGTTACTCCACGATTATCAGCTTGAATAGCATGCTGCGGTTGTCAGCGGCTTTCAATTTTTGCGCTGAAAGTCCAATATTTTTAAAATTTTGAAAACTCTATGTTAGGTAGTTTTATTGACATCAGAAAATTCCCTTCATCCCTATTATTTTTGGCTGCAAATAAGCTTATACAGCCAATAATTTTCGTATACAGCTAATGCTAGTCTGCAGCTAAAATTGTTTATTAGGCAGTTCTGAGAACTTCATTGATTCAAGATTTCAAGAGAATAAGAACTTCATTCAATTCCAAGAATTTCAAGGAAGTTTCGAAAACTTCATGGTTGTTCCGAGAGATACAAGAACGGCCATAATTACAGGAAAGTGATAAAATCCTTTTATTTAGTATGATGGATTTCTGAAGATCAAATAGCTTCATGGCAGCTGCATGCAATTCAGGAAACTTGGATGGAACTTTACAGTAGTTTCAAAATCACCAATTGAGTTTAAATAGCTTAAAGAAAGTTATGTGATCATCGGGACAGTTCTGAGATCTTCGGAGCAGTGCTGGGAAAATCAGGAAAACCAGCGGGAACTTCAGGTTAATTTTGAAAATTTTTAGGCAGTTCCATTAAATTCAGGTAAATGGTGAGAACCTTCTAGAAGTTTCAAATATTAAAGATAACCCAGAGAGCACCAGGGAAGGTTAGAGAAATTTATAACAAAAATTGGAAACGTCACAGAAGCTTTCAAAAATCAGGGGCGTGAAGAAAACGGAATGTTTAAATACTTTATAGATGTTCCGAAGAATGAAACGAAATACCGAGCATTTTGGAGTAGTTTTATGAAGAGACTACAATATGGTATGAGAAGTTCTGATAACTTATTTAAAAACTCTGGCTCCTCAGAGAAGTTTTCAGAACTTCAAGGCAGTTCAATGGGCTCAGGTAAACTTCAGAAGCTGTTTAAAAAAGTTTAAAAACGTCAGGAATATCCAGAGAAGTCTTTAAAACTTTTAAGAAGTTTGTTAAGTTTTAAGTTAAGATAAGTTGAGGAAAAGTGTGGAAATCAGGAGGGCTGTCCGGCGTAGTGGTTAACACTCATACCTCTCTCGCCAAAGTGGTGAGTTCAAATCTCACCCCTGAACAATTAACGAATGACCCACGAGCGTTAAAGTGACTATAATAAAAAAGTGTGGAAACTTTAAATAAAATCCAAGAACCTCATCAGAAGAATTCAGAGATCACAAGGACAGCCCCAATAGCTTCAGGAAAGTTCAGACATGTGCGGGAGGTTTATAGGTATGTAAAGGTTAGTTTCGATAAATTCAAGTCAGCTTTATAAATTTCAGAAAAACATCGAGGATCTGTAAGAAATTGTGAGAGATTATTGAAAGTTCATAACTCTTTACTGTCGTTATACGCATAAGAGTCCCACTGTGCATAAGGATTGCATAGAACATGGGACATTTATGCGTATAACGGCAGTTTAGAAGTCAAACAAAGCTTCAAACATATTTTGGGAGCTTCACAGGAGTCCAGAGATTTTCAGGGAAGTTTCTAGATTTTTGGAGCAGCTCTTTTTATTTCAGAACAGTGCCACGAATTTCAAGCGAATTGTGAGAGCTTCAGGGTAGTTTTGACAACATCAGGGATGATCAGAGAATCTCAAGGTGTTCAATTTTCATTGGTCCCATAATTATTCTACAGAAGTATCGAGAAACTTAGAGAATATAGGAAAACTTCAGCATAGTTCCGGCATTATTGTTATCTTTATTAAAGAGACTTTCGGCCATAGGCCAGTTCCAAGTTATTTAGGGAAACCATCAGGAAAATTTTGAAATTTACGGTAGTTTCATTATCGTCAAGGTTGTTCCAAGTACTTAAAATGAGAGCCGAGAACTTCACAACAGTTCCATTAATTAATTACTGGAAGTTCCGAGGAGTTTTCATCCGAGAATTCAGAAATGTTCCAAAAATTTCAGGAATATTGCGGGGTCTTAAAGGAACTTCCATAAATCTGGATACAGCTGGAATTAGGGTGAAACAGCCTTTGTAAACAATAGCTTCTCTCGTTGATTTCTCGGAATTCAAGACACGCCTACACAAACCAACATATCCATCGGGTAGGAGAAGTCTTCCTCTAGTCGATGGTGATGTCTATTTGCCAGGGAGAGCGATGATTTCCGAGAAATCATCGAGGGAAGTCATTGTATACAAAAGCTGTTACGCCCTAGTTCCAGTTCAATCTAGAAATAACATGACACTTTTTTGGAACGATAGAATCGTTCCGAGAACTTCTTAAACATTTTGAGAACTTTATCGTGATGAATTTCTTATTGACCACCCTCAAGTTCGTATCATCATTGCCCTTAAATATGAATCTGCCCAAAAAATGGTAACGATCAGCTAATCCAAACACATAAAGCAACCAAAGATACAGTCAAAACGGTTGCTCCGACTACCATGACAAACTCGCTCTGTAACACAACTCGATCGGAGCGATAGAATGATAATGATATATTGCTTGCCTGCTTTGTTGCAATATACATGGATGAGGACATAGCTTGATCTGAATCGAGAAAAGACATAAAAAAATCACAGTAACACACGTGTATCATCTTCGACTTTACTTCGTGAAGCAGCTTGCCAACAATTTACTCGTTTCCTTCTACCACCCCGAGTGAGCTGTGTCACACGGGCTGCTTCACTTGAAAAATAAGGAAGAAGATTATATCATTATTGCTTTCCACTTCTGACATAGCAATTGCATTATCATTCGGTTCGTTGATTGCTTGTCATTTTGTCATTTGGAGATATTTTTGATTCCTTGGTAACGACTGATGAAGGTATAGAGGTCGCGCAAATGATTTGAAATTTATAATGGAAGAATTTCAAAAATTTCTGATATGCTCTAACTTTGTTTTTAACTATCTACATCTCGATTATTTTTTCGAAGGGACATATCAGCTTTTGTAAACAATGCATTTAATCGACAATTTGGCGTAACTGGTAGTTCGCACATGCATACTAACACCGCTATCTGGTAGGGGACAACATCCCCTGTCTGATGGTAGTGTTAGCATGCGTGAACGAACTGCTAGTTACGCTAAATCAACGATTAAATGCATTGTTTACAAAAGCTAATAGGTCCCTTTCAAAAAGTAGTCGAGAAATGTTAATATGTTGTTGCTATGGCAATTACCAAAAAGTATTTTGTTTTTACGATCAGTTTTACAGCACATCAAGAAAGATAGAAATGTGAAAAAATTACGAAATAGTGTAAATTGACAGATGAATATGCGCCAATTTCATCACAACAGCAGGCTTGTTGATCATTGTCATGACAACCACATACTAATTGTTGACAACGTTTGGACTACTGCAACCAAAGTTAGAGCAATGTAAGTGAAAATCAATAATTTCCCATACTCATTTACTGAAATACAAATCATTTGCACGACATCTAAAACTTCATTAATCTTTACCATTTGTTGCACTGGCTCATATTTTGGGGTTATGAATTGAACTGGAGGATGGCCTATCGGGAATGCATCACTTTTCTCAAAATGAAGCTCCCTAATGTTCACACAAACAAATCTTCTGGAGACACCAAGGGGTGGGCACTCTACACACTTATTTTGCACCAACATTTTTCTCAGTGTGCCTCAAGTATGCCGCGCTGTGCCGAGACTGCCATGTCATCGGACTGATTTTATTTTTTTGATTAATTGTATGATTGGTAACCCGGTTTTTTGACAATTCAAATTTTTTTTTTGTATATCAAACCGTACGAGCTGTCGAAGACAATGGTTATCATCGATCACCATTTCCATATCAAGCTGATTGACTTCGGATCGGTGACGTTCGTACTGGAAGGGCAACTTTTTTCTACCTTCTACGGCACGACCGCGTACTGAAGTCCGGAAGTGTTGGTAGGCAACTGCTACTACTGCCATGAACTGGAAATGTGGGCTCTCTGTATGACACTGTACGTGTTGTTGTTCTTCGAGAACCCCTTCGTTGAGGAAATCCGTTGACAAGAATCCCAAAACTTGGATCACCATCCAGGAGCTACTGGAGGTGGACTGGATGATGCAGGACATCAAGTCGTCACAATATTCCTAAAATCGTTCCCTGCTAACCGTACGAAATCAATCCGTAGAAGTGCTACGTAGATGCAAATATCTGCTCCAGCCAGACGGGACTGTCCACGTCGCCGCACAGCCTTTCGATATTGGATTATGTCGATGGTGCAGATGAGGATGAGCACGTCCAATGTCGAATTAGTCAGTCAATTTATTTAAAAAAATGGTTTACTGCTATTTAATTAATATATTATTGAATTAATTTTAATGGTTTTTAAAATGTCTAGTGGCGGAGTAGCAGTGATTCTATTTTAGTCAATCCTGTACTAGTCCAGGTTGGGCGTTAAATGCTTCCTGTTGATTCGGCCGGTTGATGGTTCTGTTGGTGTGCCATATCCGCTATCGTGTATCTACACACTTAGAAAAAATCATGTAAATTTAGGTGCTCTGAGAGTGACATATACGAGCGTCAATTTTGACATAAATTTGAGTAGTCATAACAGACGCAAAATATAGCTTAATCAAACGTACTTTTCGCCGAGCAACGAACTTTTCAGTCTCGGAGCACTTAATATTACATGACATGTTTGTTTATGTCTCATCTTTTATGTCATAGATGGATTCCGTCAGGTGTAAAATTAGTTTTTTCTAAGTGTGTATGTCTGGGGCTCTACAACAGGCAATGTTAGTGAATGTTTTTGCTTCAAAATCCGTGAAACATCTGGAAGTCAATCCGTGACAGTTTCTGCACTTCTGCGTTGGCTTTCAAAGATTCATATTAAATCCACCCGGTCGTCGTCGTAATGTCGGCATCTTCCGTTGCTCCGGTTGCGGATCATAGCAGGATCATAGGCTCCGGCGAAATTATTTGTTGCGGATACGCAAAATTGTTTGCGTCAACAACCAAATTTTGACACATTCTCACTGCGAATGCGCAGAAATAATGCAGTGATGCCAGTTACTTTAGAGATCACAAAAAATATGTACCATAGGTGCCAAACAGTTCCAATGAGTGAGTCATGGTGTGCCGTACTGTGTTTTTGGCACACTGTGCTGAGTGACCTACCCCTTGGGAGACACTTTATAGCTAAAATGAAAAGGCACATTTTGCCTATTTGAAGCACAGTGCAGAGTGGTTAATGGGGGGTAAGCACGAGAAATATAGGATCTCATCTACTAGGATTTTGGGCTAGTGCTAAGGTTGTTGTGTTGGGTAATAAGACGTGATAGTTACAAGTTCATAAGTTGTCCAGGCCGCTAGTGTCCAGGCTTCTAGAAAAGGACAGATATTTACAGAATATGGCGAGAAATGACAATCGGTTGTTTCAAAACCTTGTTAGATCATGTCCATCCATTGATTAGCATTGTGATCCAGCAGTGATATTATGGGAAACATTCGTTTGCAAATATTGTTAAAATGATGATAATTGCAAGCAGCCTTAGGCTGGGGGTTAGAAGGTGATAACTCTATTGCAGTTCCGACAACCCATTTCAGACTGTCTGGCGAGTTACGCCTATTTCGAGGCCACTTTCACAAGCCCCGCATGTAAATACTACCGATATCAAATGGATAAGGGTACTGTAAACACACTTCCAGATCTTGAAACATGCTGTTTCTAGATCTCGCACGAATTTAGTAGTAGTGGGAAATACATTTTTTGTAATTGATTTATAATAAGAACGAGCTCACCAAGCTCCGGTGTAGGGAAACTCCTTCTTTTTAACTCACTTTAATCGACAAAACATCGAGTTTCATTATGTGTTGTGTACAAACAATCTCTTCCACCGAATAAAAGGTAGCACTCAGAATTAAAAACGATGCAGAAATCACACGCCTTTAAAAATTTCTTTCGCGGGTATCGTACAGAAGACAGAGCGCTAGCGCAGCAGAAAATTCAACCGAGGCGTCGTGTCAGCAACTCAAGTACGCGAACCAATATTTTGTCACCGAACTTTCACAATTATTCACAATATTCTTCATTGGATGATTATCCATTCAATTGATCAGTTAACACTATCGAAAATGGGTTCTGCTTTAATACAAGATCAAAAGTACTTGAAAACACACAAAATCTACAGACGGTGAAAGCAAAATCACGGAGCCTACTGCGCATGCTTATCCTTCCATTGATTAGCTTTGTGGTGCAAAACTTTACCAATTGGGTTGTTTAGGGGTATTGTAGAAAATACATATTCGTAATCAGCATTAACAATGGAACCGAAATCACAAGTTTCATCAATTGGGTTTTTTTTTATTTTTGAAAAAAAT